CCAGCTTTGTCAAGGTGGACCCCTACAACCAGCAACTCCAGGGCCCTTTCCAAAAGTAGGGAATTAATAAGTTTGCTGGGGGAACTTGTTTTCCTGTGGGAATTTTCTACAAGGACCCACTATCCCAAATCACCAGGCCTACCTGGCAGGAGGGTTCTTGTTCATGAACATCTCTATGGCACGCTCATCCTCAGGGTCCACCACCACCTCGGCATGATAGCCCACCCCTGTCATTGTGGCAGCCTTCTCCAGTGTGGGCCACTCCTCGTCCTCGTCATCTGATCCATCCTGAGGCACTCTTGGACCTAGAAGAGGGGAGACTAAATGGATGAGCCCAGCCAAGGATGGCTGAAGGATTAGTCAGTTTAGCTTCAGCCATTATGCAGTACAGGCCTCACATGTGGTTGTGATAGATGCAGGTATGTGCAGTGAAACAAATGAGGCATGCAGTAGCTCCCTGTCCCCAGGGGCTTGCAATCATGCTTGAGAAACAAAATGTATGCACAGGAAACAATGAGAAAGCAATGGCCATAAATAATAGTGAACATACCATACTCAGTTACGTAGAAGGAACTTCTGAACACTGTACCCATGTTAATTGTTTAACCCTTATAAACCCAAGAAGTAGATACTATTATTATACCCAGTTTCAGATGGGAACATTGAAGCACCGAAAAGTTGGGTAATTTGCCTGACAGTCTGGGTCTAGACTGCATTCTTCACTACTACTCTACACACGTTAGGGCTTGATTATATGCCACAGTAAGTGCTAGAAACAACATGCACTTGGAGGATGAGTGGTGAGGACAGTTAGGTGCTGGATGCAGAGTTTGGGAGCAGGAGGAGTGTATTCCAGACCCAGAGAAAATAAGGCTTGGCTATAAGTGTCTCGTAGGCAATAGCAGGAAATAATGCTAGGGGGAAAAGGTGAAGCCAGACTGGAGGGCCTTCAAAGTCAGGCAGTAGAGTTCAGATTTCAATCCACCAGTCCATTTCAATAAATGAAGTTAGTCCATTTAAATAACTTCCCTTTTTGGAAGGCTACATGTCTGGGCATCTGGAAAGGGGCCTAATAATCCAAGTGAGGGGCTATAATGCTACATATCAATAAGCCATTAACAAAGGCAGTGTGTGATGAAAGCTAAATAAGGGGGAACAGACATTTTGTCTCCACGTGCCAACAATCCCCTAAATTTGTACTTTGTAGGTGGTTCTCCTTAGCGCCAGACCCTAACTCCAGGGGTTTCCTGTACAGCTGCTCTTGGATGACTCACAGGCACCTCAAATCTCACCTGTCATTGACTAAACTTATCTTCTTTCCCTCCTAGGTCTACACTGCTAACCATCCACAGCTCAGCAAACGGCAGCATTGTCCACCCAGTGCTAAGCCTGGGAGGCGCTCCTGCCTCATCCCCTGCCCTCACCCTCAACACCCAATCAATTACTAAACCCTATTCAATTTTTCCTCATAGACTGTCTCTCACATGCTTCACCACACCATCTAAGCCTAGATGAGCATCATCTCTTGCCTGAATGTATTCAACAGTTGCCCACTGGTATCCATGTTTCTGACCTTGCTTCCCTCCAATTCATTTTCCACTCTGCAGACAGCAATCTTCCAGAAGCACATATTTGATTTGATCAGGCCTGTACTTAAAATTCTCCAATAGCTTCCCATTCTTCCCATTGCTGTTAGGATGGTTTCTGAATCATCTTTAGGCTTGGCTTCTACCTACCTCAACATCGTTCATTAACCCAGTCATTGAGCAAACATCCAGCACTTACTATATGTGAGGCAGTGCTGGCTATATCCATGAACAAAAGAAACTAAAAAACTTTGTTCTTATACAGCTTACATTCTAACTGGAGGAGGCAGTCTATGACCATACCACCCTGAATGCACTGATCTCATCTAATTGGAAGAGACAGACATAAACAAATGTATGAATATATTGGGTTAAAAGATAAGTATTATGGGCAAGGCGTGATGGCTCACCTGTAATCCTGGCACTTTGGGAGGCCAAGGTGGGTGGATCACCTGAGGTCAGTAGTTTGAGACCAGGCTGGTCAACATGGCAAAACCCTATCTCTACTAAAAATACAAAAAAAGAAAAAAAATTTGCTGGGTGTGGTGTCGGGTGCCTGTAATCCCAGATACTTGGGAGGCAGAAGCAGGAGAATCGCTTGAACCTGGGAGGTGGAGGTTGGAGTGAACCAAGATCTTGCCATTGAATTACAGCCTGGGCAACTGAGTGAGACTCTGTCTCAAAAAAAAAAAGGCACAACGATGCCTATATAGGTTGAATGGAATGGGCAAAGGGGAAAGCAGATCGTACAGGGATTGTAGACTCCCGTAACCCCCAGCTGTTGAGTGTTCTGTAGAGTGCGAGATACGGCAGGGTATAGTAGCTCACACCTGTAATCCCAGCACTTTGGGACACCAAGGCAAGGAGGATCGCCTGAGTTTGAGACCAACCTGGGCAACACTGTGAGACCTCATCTCTACAGATAATTAAAGCATTGGCGGCTAGGTGTAGTGGCTTATGCCTGTAATCCCAACACTTTGGGAGGCTGAGGTGGGTGGATCACCTGAGGTCAGGAGTTCAAGACCAGTCTGGCCAACATGGTAAAACCCCATCTCTACTAAAAATACAGAAGTTAGCTGGATGTGGTGGCTCACACCTGTAATCTCAACTACCTGGGAGGCTGAGGCAGGAGAATTGCTTGAATCTGGGTGGCAGAGGTTGCAGGGAGCCGAGATCACACCACTGCACTCCAGCCTAGGTGACAGAGTGACTGTCTAAAAAAAAAAAAAAAGAATGGACACATGGTGGCATACACCTGTGGTCCCAGCTATGTGGGAGGCTGAGGCAGGAAGACAGCTGGAGCCCAGGAGATTGAGGCTGCAGTGAGCTAAGATTGTGCCACTGCACTCTAGCCTGGGAGAGAGACAGAGCGACAGACTCTGTCTAAAAATAAAATAAAAAGGAAAGGAAAGGAAAGAAAAAAAAGGAGAATATCAGATACCATCTAGGAGGCTACTGTGATAATCCAGGTGAGTCTGTGATAATCCAGTGTGAGAGACTGTGGTGGTTTGAACAGGATGGTGTTCCAAAGTGGTGAAAAGTGGTCTGATTTTGGATAGACCTTTATACCCTGAAGGCAGAGTTATCAGAATTTCCTTGCAGATCAGATGTGGGGAGGGAGAGAGAGAGAGGAGTCTCACGTTTATCTTTAGCAAATGAAAGAATATCATGCTACTAACTGAGACAGGGAAGACAGTGGTGAGAGAAGCAGCTCTGGAGAGAAGGTCAGGATTGGTTTTGTACATGCTAAATTTGAGCTGCTTCAAACTGGAGGTGCCAAATAGGCAGCTGAATATAAGAATCTGGATTTCATGAAAGAGATCAGGGCTAGAATACAAAGTTAGGAGTCGTCACCCAAGAGATGGTATTTAAACCATGAAACCTGACAGCATGAGAGAGTATCTGAAGAGAAGAGGTCAGAGGAGTGAGGATAAGAGGTTGCAGTAAGAGCCAATGCTATTGAGAAGTGAGGTGGCAGTAAAACAGGACTGTTGATGTCTTACAACCCAAGTAAGGATACTGTGGGCAGGAGGCCACTATTCAATTGTATCAAATATTGCTTTAGATGAGATCTGAGAAATGGATGAAGCACCTCAGAGGTCAGCACTCCCTCCCTAGTAAGAACATATCAAACGTCAATTCGTTTCTCTCCCTCTTTGGCTGCGAAACGTGTTTTCTGCTCATTACACCTCCCATTTGTTTTTCAGTTCTCAGCTTAAAGGTCCTGCAATCGGAGAAGCTTCTCAAGACCAATGCTATTGTCACCAGGGAAACGACACTTTATCATGGAAATACATTATTCTAAGAGTCTACGTAATTGTCTCTCCGCTGGGCTTGACTGTAAGGTCCTTAAGTCAGACGTGTCTATATGTTGTTACTTCTGTACTCAAATATTCGATTGAACTCCGATCATAGCGCAAAGGTCGTAGTAGGTTTCCCAAAAATATTTACAAAACCAATGGATAAATGCTAGGAACACTTAGTGGCGCGAGCGATTACAGTACTTTCTATTGGCCTAACTTCGGGGGTGCCTAGAAGGGAGTGCCTAAAACTAGGAGTGGGCGCGGAGGTCTCCGGCCATCGCTTAGCCTCCCATTCCATTACTTTTGCAAGTCCCCTGCTGGACACTTTTTAGCTGTCCCCCCTGCCCCACTGCTAGCCACTGTCTTGCTCGGACCTCCTCCCAGACACTCACCCAGCCGCGTGGTACGTTCCTGCGGCGCCGGTGGCTTGTCCCCAGTCCCATGCTCGGCCTCGAGCTCCTCCTGTTGCTGCCGTGCTTGCTGCAAAATCCGTCGGCTCAGCCTAGGCCCCACATACTCTTCCTCCTCTTCTCCGGTGCCACGACCCCGCCGCTTCTCCCGGACCCCTGCCCGCAACGCATTCCCAGCCAGGATCTGCTCAGCCAGCGGCGCATGTTTTTCCTGACCCCCGGCCCCACGGGTCGCCTTGAACTTGGGCATTTTTCTTGAAAAAGTTGCCAGGAAGTCGCACGTGGGGACGACGAAAAGGCCAGAATACACTTGCGCGGTGAACTCCCACCTCCCAAGAGGCCACGCTGCGATCACAGCGCCCTCTAGCTATCGGAGGCCAGAAGCGCCATCAGCGCCGCCCCTCCCACTAAAAGAGCTCCTGGGTTCCGGAGCTGGACTCCCAAATACATTCATTGCCTTTAACGTTGGCTTCTCTCAATAGTGCAGTCTAAGTGTCGTTCTCCTAGCTTCATGGATCTAAGCCTAGAGTGCTCAGCCAAGCGGGAATTTCCAGAGCTAGAAACATGGGGGCGGGAATTCGCTGATTATGTCACTGGTGGCGTCACCGAGGGGTGCCGAGACACGCCCCATTCCTTGGGGAAGGCGTGGACCCGGCGCTCTGTTTTTACGTATTTCCGGAATCCCTTCTGCGACCGAAGCCGGCGGACTGGGAACGACGCATTTCTACTGTGTGATCCTGCCACCTTCCTTGCCCGACGCCATGGGAGTGACTTGGTAGGACTGCAGGGGGTTTTGTGGGGCGGGATTTGGAGTTGTGAAGGGCCGGGAAGAGGTCCTTGATCATGGTCCGCCGTCCCTTGGGAGCTGAGCGAAATGTCCTCGGGTTATGTGGTTAAGAGGATACCTTGCAGGCCGCGGGTTCACCGGGCCTTTTTCCTCGGAGATGCGCTCCTACCTCTTGAAAGGCGGCAGAGCAAAGGTTTTATACCAGGGACCTATCAGTGGTTGTGTACCTCCTTCCCTTCTGGGTACATTTTCCTTCCCGTGAGGCCACAGTACTGTCTGCAATGGAACCTCAAGGTTGGAAATAGGGACTTTGGATTAGGACCTACCTGCAGACAGGGTTGGAGGGAGTAGGTTAAAAGCAATCAGGAGACAGTATTTTTTTTGAGATTTTCGCCTACCCTTCTCTCAGCCATCAAATGCAGTTAGACCAGCTTGTGTCTGTTTATAATTTGCCCATTTTAAGATTTTGGGTCTAGAGGAAAAAAGAGGCTATTGATAATAAGGAGATCGTGGTTCCAGGCCCTCTTTAGGACCTGCTTCTTACTATGTTTAATTCCATGGTTGGTCTAGTTTCAATGGAGTTTTTATCTTTCATATGTTTTAACTCTCAGTTGGAAGATGAGGTGGCAGGGAAAGGTATGGGTACAATGCTCCTGGAGGTGTTAGTTGTAAGGTACTAGGTCCCATTTTTTTTTCTTATCGCAGGAGGTGTGAGCATCTTTCCTGTGGGAGAAGTCCGGGGGCCAGGATATCTGAAGCCAGTGGCTATAGACTTCTCATAAAAGCGTGTGTAGGGGCAATACTTTTCCTCCTGGTAGCCCCGTTTCTTGCGGGTTTCTCAGTGATTGCACTCTTGTTTCCCACAGTTGACATCCCCCTCCTCCTGTGTTCCTTAATGGACGCAAGATACGTGAAAGATGGAAATGGAACGGATGCAGTGTAGAACCCTGGAACCCTCTGCTCTTTCTTTAAAAAGAAACAAAACAAAACAGAAATTGGATCTTGCTGTTTTACACATGTGGGTTTTGAATTTCTGAATTGAAGCGAGCCTCCTGCTTTGGTCTCCCAAAGTGTTGGCATTACAGACATGAGCCACTGTGCCCTGCCACCCCTGCTCTTTAAATGGAAAAGGCAGCTCCAGGGAAAGGGCTCTCTGTTGGCACCCTTAACAACTTTTTCAGAATCCTAGGACTTCTGTCCCTTGTAGCATCCGTTAGGGATTCTTTTATATTTCAAAATAAGACACATTAGCAGCATTGTTTATCAGTGCTTTTTCTGATAGAGCAGTGACAACTTTTTTTTTTTTTTTTTGTACAGTTTCTCTCTTTCTGCCCAAGCTGGAGTACAATGGTGCGATCTTGGCTCATTGAAACCTCTACCTCCTGGGTTCAAGCAATTCTCTTGCCTTCGCCTCCCAAGTAGCTGGGATTACAGGCATGCACCACCATACCTGGCTAATTTTCTTGTATGTTTAGTAGAGACGAGGTTTCACCATGTTGGCGAGGCTGTTCTCAAACGCCTGACCTTGTGATTCACCCACCTCGGCCACCCAAAGTGCTGGGATTACAGGCGTGAGCCACTATGCCTGCAAGCAGTGACAATTTTTAGCAATAGATGGACTCTACCTTAATAGATTCATTTAGTTGATCATAAAGCAATGTCATCTATGACTATTTTCTTGATTTTTATATAGCTGAGTATTGCCTGCACTATTGTTTATTAATTTTTTTTTTTTTTTGAAGAACTGATCTTTTCCTTAAAAATCTTAGCAGGCGCTACGTCCCTATATAGGCAGTCTAGCGAGTCGTGAAGCGCATGGACATTGGCTGGGTGTGGTGGCTCACACCTGTAATCCCAGCACTTTGGGGGGCCGAGGTAGGCAGATCACCTTTGGTCAGGAGTTCAAGACCAGCCTGGCTAACATGATGAAACCTTGTCTCTACTAAAAATACAAAAAATTAGCCAGGCGTGGTGGCACTCGCTTGTAATCCCAGCTACTTGTGAGGCTGAGACAGGAGAATTGCTTGAACCTGGGAGGTGGAGGTTGCAGTGACAGAGATCGCACTCCAGCTTGGGCAACAAGAGTAAAACTCTGTCACCAAAAAAAAAAAAAAAAAACCAAACAACAATAAGAAACTTGCCTGGACATGAAGCCAGGTTGCTGGGCTTTCAGTCTTGGGTGTACCACCCATTAACTGTGTGACCTAGTACAAGTTATTTAACCTCTTTGTACTGTACCTCAGTTTCTTCTTTTTTTCCAGATGCATTTTGCTGTTATTGCCCAGGCTGGAGTGCAGTGGACAATCTTGGCTCACTGCAACCTCTGCCTCCTGGGTTTAAGTGATTCTTCTGCCTCAGGTTCCTGTGTAGCTGGGACTACATGTGCACACCATCATGCCTGGCTAAGTTTTGTATTTTTGGTGGAGACAGGGTTTCACCATGTTGGCCAGGCTGGTCTCCAACTCCTGACCTCAAGTGATCAGCCCGCCTTGTCCTCCCAGAGTGCTGGGATTATAGAGCCATGAGCCATCGCACCCGGCAGTTTCCTTATTTGTAACAAATTGATAAATAACACACCTTCATAGGACTGTTGTGAGGCTTTGGAGAGCTAATTCATCTAAAGGCCCTAGGACACAGTCTGGCACATTGTTGGTTGGCAGTTGTTGCCTACCACTCTAAAGGGGAAGCCACCATAGGAGGTTCACTCACCATAGGAGGAAATCTTGGGAATAACATTTTTGGTTTTGTTCCATTGTTTTGATTCAATTCTTGTGAATACTGTTGCCTCTCATTCCCAAAGATTATAAACTTGAAGCCTGCTTTTTACTTTGTTCCTAGGGCTGTTGAATAGAACTTTCTGTGTTGATGGAAATGTGCTCTAACAGTAATGTCCAATATACTAGCCCCCAGCCACCTGTGGCTCTGGGCTACTGTGTAGAACAGCTCAGGTTCACAGAGTTGGTAAAAACATATTAACCCCAAACTGAGACGTTTTCCTTGATATAGTCAGAACTGAAAGAGTTGCAAAAAGAATCCCTTTTTCTCTGTTTTTTTTTTTTTTTTTTGAGACAGTTTCACTGTCACTAGGCTGGAGTGCACTGGCACTATCTCAGCTCACTGCAGCCTCCAACTCCAGGTTTCAACCGATTCTCCTGCCTCAGCCTCTCGAGTAGCTGGGATTACAGGCTCTCGCCACCACGCCCAGCTAATCTTTGTATTTTTAGTAGAGACGGGGTTTCGCCATGTGGCCAGCCTGGTCTCGAACTCCTGACCTTGTGATCCACTGCCTCAGCCTCCCAGAGTGCTGGGATTACAGGCGGGAGCCACCGTGCCTGGCCAGAATTTTTTTTAATTAAAAATAATATTAAAGTTGTAGGGTTTGTGAGACAGTCAAGAGTAGGTCATTTCCAAGATAACTTTTGGCCCTGATGAGCTGTGATGCTGTGGGCGAGTGTGTGGCTCAGTGACCACATGTGTGTCTCTGGATACTGATGATTTGGTGCTCTCCTTTCCAGTGTGTCCCAGATGCCTGTGGCTGAGGGCAAGAGTGTCCAGCAAACCGTAGAGCTCCTCACTCGGAAATTGGAGATGCTTGGGGCAGAGAAGCAAGGAACATTTTGTGTGGACTGTGAGACGTACCATACTGCTGCCTCTACCCTTGGCAGCCAAGGTCAGTGACATGGGTCTATAGGATGAGTGGAACCAGTCTTGGAGTTAATAGACATTTGTGTTCATTGAAGTCTTTCTGCTTTTCTGCTAAGGGTGGTATTCATGAACAGGTGGCGAGATGTGTTTCTGAATTTATTAATTCTTGGCTCTTTATCTCTTAGACTAGGGCTTTTTAAAGCTTTATTTTATTAAATTAATTTATTTATTTGAGATAGGGTCTTATTCTGTCACCTAGGCTGGAGTGCATGGCATGATCACAGCTCACTGCAGCTTTGACCCCCTGGGCTCAAGTGATCTTTCCACCTTGGCCTCCTGAGTAGCTGGGACCACAGGCATGATCCTACACACCTGGCTAATTTTTAAAATTTTTTGTAAGGACAGGGTCTCCCTATGTTGACTAGGATGGTTTTGAATTCCTAGCCTCAAGGGATTATCCGGCATTAGCTTCAAAAGTGCTGAGATTATAGGCATGTGCCACCACTCCTGGCTAAAGCTTTATTGAGGTATAGTTGATATACAAACAGTTGTATACATCTAATGCATACATCTTAATGAGTTTGGATATATGCATACACCTATGATACAATCACCACAACCAAGGTACTAAATATATCCATTACATCCCAAAATTTCTTTTTTTCTTTTTGCTTTCTTTCTTTCTTTTTTTTTTATCTTCACCTGGGTGCAGGTGGGCTAACGCCGAAAAGGGCATTAGCCCCAAAATTTCTTTGTATGTGTTTGTGTGTGTATGTGTTTAAGAGATAGAGTCTTGCTCTGTTGTCCAGGCTGGAGCTCACTGTAGCCTCAAACTCCTGGGGTCAGGTGATCCTCCCACCTTAGCCTCCTGAGTAGCTGAAACTACAGGCATGTGCCACCATGCCTGGCGGATTTTTTTTTAACTTTTGGGTGGGGTCATGGGGGTGTCTTACTATGCTGCCCAAGTTGGTCTCAAACTCCTAGCCGTAAGCCATCCTCCTGCCACAGCTTCTCAAGTAGCCGGTCTCAAACTCCTGAGCTCACGGGATGCACCAGCATCGGCCTCCCAAAGTGCTGAGATGAGAGGCATGAGCCACCATGCCTGGCCCTTGTGCTCTTTGAGTGCTGTTTTGTGCAGTTTGAACTCTAAAAGCAATGTTTTTCAGAGGGTTAATCACTGACTAACCACATCAAATTCACCTGGGATATTTGTTAAGAGTTGCAGATTCCTGGCCCTGTTTACTGATTGACTGCTGCTTAGGCCACATAATCTACATTTAACAAGCATCCAGACAATCCTCATGCACTCTGAAGTTTGAGAAAGACATGTGTCAGGCCCAGAAGTCTTTGTTTATTATTGTTTTAGAGCTTTAAAGTTTCTAGAAGTTTCTCTGTTTTCCTACACCTAACCATTGGCCTTGGCCTCCTTATTAACATAGCATAAATTAATTGTTCTTTTTAGTGTATTGAGTGGTGGGATGGTCTGTGGATAATGGGGGATGGTGGTTGCAAGGGAGAGAGGATTTTCTTCTTTTCGAGTGAAGGACTCAGTTTGTTGCCTGACTATACAGTGGCATGATCCCAGCTTACTGCAAGCTTTAACTCCTAGGCTCAGGCAATGAGAGGGACTCTTTGGATATGAGTTAGGGAAGTTGTTTCTCTTAGTCTTGGCTCTGCAGTAATTTGATATTGAACAGTTCCATAGCATAGTGGTTATGACTGGGGAGCCAGAGTCCTGAGTCATGGCTTTGCGACATACTAATTGTGCACCTGTAGGTAACTCCTACAACCTATCTGTGACTGTTTCCATGCCTCTCATGTACCTGTTTCCCTTAGATCCATTTCCTGTGCTTCCCCTGCAAGCTGTATTTTCCAGGCCCTCTACTAGTTAGCTTTGGTTATTGAGAGGCGCCGAAGAAGATTTAGAGGACGGGAGAAAGGAATCCCATAGTATTCCTCTCCCTCTGCTCTGGGCAGTGTCTCTAGCTATGGCTTTGTCTTCACCTCCTTGGTTCTAGCTTCCACTAGGCAACCCTCATTCCTGCCTCTGATAAGAGCACATATTTTCTTTTTCCCTCTAGCCCTAGGAATGGTAGTAGTTTCCTGTGTTGCTACTCTTTGGGTTGTCTCACCCTCCTGTTTGGTTTTTCCTTTCTTCCAACTCGTGTGTTTGTTCCCCGTATACATTTCTTGTACCAAAATTATCTGGCATGGGCTCTGTTTCTGGACTCTTCCCAATAGAGTTCTCTCATCTATAAAATAAAGATAATCATAGTACTTCTTTTCTCGTGTTGTGCTAATTAAATAAGTTAATACATGCAAAGCATTTAGAACTAAGATTGTCATGTAATTTTTTTTTTGAGATGGAGTTTCGCTCTTGTTGCCCACGCTGGAGTGCAATGGTGCAGTCTCAGATCACTGCAACCTCCGACTCCCGAGTTCAAGCGATTCTCCTGCCTCAGCCATCTTAGTAGACTACAGGTAAGCTCCACTATGCCCAGCTCATTTTTGTATTTGTAATAGAGATGGGGTTTCCCCATGTTGGCCAGGCTTGTCTCAACTTCCTGACCTTTTGATCTGCTTACCTTGGCCTCCCAAAGTGCTGAGATTACAGGCATGAGCCACCGCACCCAGCCTGTCATGTAATATTTAATCAATGGTAGCTAAGAGTTGTACTTAGCTCTTGTATTATCGTTGATAAAATTGCAGTTACCATTTATGTTGCCTTCACTATGAAGGAGGTAAGAATCGAGATAATGATTACAAAAGCATTTGGGTAATAAAATATTAGGATATAGATATGAGATGGCATATGACTTCTAGTGAAACTACCTGGTGTGGGCTGAGCAGGCCCTCACTTTCAGGAAGCTACAGTTTAGTTGGGGAGACAGAACAACTTCATGGCAGGCAGTGGGGAAGAATGGAAAGAGTAATAAACTTGGGGTGAGCAGACCTGGATTGGAGTTTCAGTTCTGCTGCTTATTGGCTCTATGCCTTTAGATCAGTGGTTCTCAAACTTGACCAGCATTAGCATCATCTGAAAGGCTTATTACCACACAGATTGCTAGACCTAACCCCAAAGTTTTTGACTTAGTAGTTTGGAGAAGAGTAGACAATAATTTGCATTTCCCTTTTTTTTTCTTTTTTGAGACAGGGTCTCTTTCTGTCACCCAGGCTGGAGTGCAGTGGCATGATCACGGCACACTATTGCCTCGACCTGCTGGGCTCAAGTGATCCTCTAGCCTCGGCATCCTAAATAGCTGAGGCCACAGTTGTCTGTCACTATACGATAAGCAAATCAAAGTTGGTGTCAGCAATAAGGCAAGGGCCATTCTCAAAGAGGGCGAAACAGCTCAATGGGTACTCTGAATTGTGCATCACATACATCAGCTTCCCGGTCTGACCTGCAAGGGACAGAGATCCTGCTCATCAGCAAGACTTTCACTGCTAATTTTTAAATTATTTTATAGAGACAAGGTCTCCTTATGTTGCCCAGGCTGGTCTCAAACTCCCGAGCTCAAGCCATCCTCCCTGCCTTGGCCTCCTTAAGTTTTGAGATTATAGGCACGAGTGCCCTGGCTATAATTTGCATTTCTAACAAGTTCCCAGGAGGCTCTGCTACTGCTGCTGCTCTGGGATCCACTTAGCTTCATTTTCCTCATCTTTAGAAGGGGGACAGTAAACCTGGTTCTGCCCGCTTCACAAGGTGGTACAGACATGAAAGGATGTTGTTATAATAGAAAATACTATTGTTGGGCAGGCACAGTGGCTCACGCCTGTAATCCCAGCCATTTTGGGAGGCCGAGGCAGGCAGATCACCTGAGGTCAGGAGCTCAAGACCAGCCTGACCAACATGCTAAAACCCTGTCTCTACTAAAACTACAAAAATTAGCCGGGTGTGGTGGCAGTCGCCTATAATTTCAGCTACTCAGGAATCTGAGACAGGAGAATCACTTGAATTTGGGAGGCGGAGGTTGCAGTGAGCCGAGATCATGCCATTGCACTCCAGGCTGGGCGACAAGAGCGAGACTCCATCTCAAAAAAAAAAGAAAATACTATTGTCAGCTGACTGCAGTGGTTCATGTCTGTAATCCTAACACTTTGGGTGGTAGAGGTGGGAGAATTGCTGGAGACTAGGAGTTTGAGACCAGCCTAGGCAAGATGGTAAGACCTCATCTCTACAAAAATTAAAAAACAAAAGCAGAAACAAGAAAACACAAAAGGTGGGCGTGGTGGTCTCAGCTACATGGGAGGCTGAGGCAGGAGGATTGCTTGGACCCAGGAGGTTGAGGCTTCAGTGAGCTGTGTTCATGCCACTGTACTCCAGCCTAGGTGACAGAGTAACACCCTGTCTTAAAAAAAAATGAAGAGGCTGGGTGCAGGGGCTCACGCCTTTTGGGAGGCCAAGGTGGGCGGATCCTGAGGTCAAGAGATTGACTTCATCCTGGCCAACGTGGTAAAACCCCGTCTCTACTAAAAATACAAAAATTAGCTGGGCATGGTGGCACGCGCCTATAATCCCAGCTACTCGGGAGGCTGAGGTAGGAGAATCACTTGCACTCGGGAGGCGGAGGTTACAGTGAGCTGAGATTGCATCACTGCACTCCAGCCTGGCGACAGAGTGAGACACTGTCTCAGAAAAAAAAAAGAAGAAAAGAAAAATGTTACTGTCTTTAATACTGGTAGTGTCTTCTTCATTAAACACACACACCCCTTCCCCTTAGTTGACTTTTAAGATATTTCCAAGACAGTAACACTTGCAGACTCATATGGTATGAATAAAGTATGTAATTAGAGTGAGTAGACATGAGAACAGAATGATAAGATCACCTTTGGATGGATTTTTTTCTTGAGAGTCAAGAAGTTTTGAACTGGATTTAGACGGAGGTGACAGGTGGGAGCTGTCAGCAAGCAGTCAGGAGGAGGGATGTTGCCTGGGGGATCTGTGCAGAGCCTGCTGTTGTTCATGATATAGCCTACATAGGGAAGTCACATGCCCTCTGTTCCCCCCACCCCCACACCCTTTTCATTCCCACTCTCTTGCCCCCTGCCTAGAATGTCTTCTTTCCTTCCTGTGGCTGAATCCTACCTTCCCTTCATATCCCTGTTCAAATCATGGTAGACAAGACCTATCACAGCTTGGCTCCCATCTACCTTTCCGGTCTTATGCACAGACACTCCCCTTTACTGCTTCCATAGGACCATTTACTAGCTCTCAAAGAGGGGGGAACCCAGGCGAGGAGGAGTGCGCAGAAGAAGGGAGCAGTTGCTTCCTTTGTCTTGCCCAAATGCTGTTACTTTCATTTTACTTATGGAATGTATGATAATATACAAAAGAGTATATGGAAAATCTGTGTGAATTAGACTTTACATATAGACCATCTGTGAGCCTACCACTCAAGAATTAAACCATCATCAAAACTGTTAAAGTTCCCTGTGTGCCCCTCACCATTTTCGGTAGAGCAGGGTGGATTTTACCACATGCTGCCTCTCCTGTTCTTTCTCTCCTTACCTTTCTAGAAAAGGCTGTCAGTGAGAGGATTCCCCTTACGCCCCACCAAGACTGCTGAGATAGTGCCAGATTGCTATGTGGCCTCATTCTGAGGGGGAGTCATTTGCTTTACTCTGGGGTTTGCCAGTGAAAGTCTTGATGATGAGCCGGATCTCTGTACCTTGCAGGTCAGACCGGGAAGCTGATGTATGTGATGCACAACTCGGAGTACCCATTGAGCTGTTTTGCCCTCTTTGAGAATGGCCCTTGTCTTATTGCTGACACCAACTTTGATGTGCTTATGGTGAAGCTGAAGGGCTTTTTCCAGAGTGCTAAGGCCAGCAAGATTGAGACCCGGGGCACCCGGTACCAGTACTGTGACTTCCTGGTGAAGGTGGGCACGGTCACAATGGGGCCCAGTGCCCGGGGCATCTCTGTGGAGGTAAGACCTTGGTGAAAACAGGAGCAGGATATGCTAAGGGGGCTGGCTGGTAAAGAGCTCTGAAGATTTTCCAGTCCTTCTTTATTTTTTTTGAGACAGAGTCTTGCTGTGTCACCCAGGCTGGACTGTAGTGGTGCAGTCTTGGCACACTCCAGCCTCTACTTCCAGGGCTCAAGTGATCCTCCCACCTCAGACTCCCAAGTAGCTGGGACTACACCCTAATTAAAAAAAATTTTTTTTCAGGCTGGGCAAAAATTTTTTGGCTCACGCCTGTAATCCCAGCACTTAGGCTGAGGCAGGTGGATCAACTGAGGTCTAAAGTTGGAGACCAACCTGACCAACATGGAAAAACCCGCTCTCTACTAAAAATACAAAAAAAAAATTGGCTGGGCGTGATGGCACATGCCTGTAGTCCCAGCTACTTGGGAGGCTGAGGAGAATCACTTGAACCTGGGAGGTGGAGGTTGCCTTGAGCTGAGATCGTGCCACTGCACTCCAGCCTGGGCGACAAGAGTGAGACTCCATGTCAAAAAAAAAATTTTTTTTTTAGTAGGAATGAGGACTTACTATGTTGCCCATGCTGGTCTCAAACTCTTGGGCTCAAGTGATCCTCCCACCTCAGCCCCCTAAAGTGCTGGGATTATAGTTGTGAGCCACCACACCTGGCCTTCAGTCCTTCTCAATTTAGACAAATATTTATCTCATCTCTAACTCCAAGGCATCTGTGCTTCTTCTCCGTGAATTGTTATCCTTTGTTTGATTATTCCGAGACTCTCTAACACAAGATGGGAAGTGGGAAGTGGGAAGCTGGGTTCAAAGCAAGGGGAAAGCTTAATAAGGAAGGGATGGCTTACTGGAGAAGGGAAACGATAGTTAAGGAAGGCAAGTAAGTCATGACAAGAAGTACTGGAGCAGACCAGGACAACTCTTGGAGCAATCTTCTGGAGGTGGGCCCTAAGTCACATATGCCCATATACCTGTCCTTAGTATACTTTAAGATAGGTCTCGAAAGTTGGGAAGCAAAAATGTGCTTTTCCTTTTGACATGCTGTCTGCTTTCTTTCATGGCAGAAAGAGGTGTTTGTGTGTGAGATCACTTCATTTATGAGTGTGTGTGTAATACATACATATACATAGTGATGAGGAGTGAGAGTGGCCGTGTGGCAGTAGCTGGCTTCTTAGGGACCAGGGAAAGTTCACAACCTATAATGTGCTCAGCACTCAGATAAGAAAACAAGTAAGCTTGCAGCATCTACCCTTTGAAAATTTGTGATTTATTTATTAAGAGTGAGGCTGAAACACACAAACTTTTTTTTTTTTTTTTTTTTTTTTAAAGAGGTGTAGTCTCATTCTGTCATCCAAGCTGGAGTGCAGTGGCACAATCTTGGCTCACTGTAACCTCCACCTCCCGGGTTCTAGCAATTCTCCTGCCTCAGCCATCTGACAGCTGGGATTACAGGTGCACACTGCCATGCCTGGCTAATTTTTTGTAATTTAGTAGAGATGAGGTTTCGCCATGTTGCCCAAGCTGGTCTTGAACTCCTGAGCTCAGGCAATCCACCTGCCTTGGCTAGGATTACAGGCGTGAGCTACCATGCCCAGCCCACACAAACTATTTTTGAAGTTAGTCTGAAAATGCCATAAAAGAGGCAGTTTGCTCTGGGAATTCAGACCAGTGAGAGCACTGCTGACTTTGGTTGCGATGCTTCCTGGAGGATCAACATTTATGTAGGGATTTAAAATGTAGAGACATGGGGATAGATAAGTCTAGGAAGAATCTGGAGAAAAGGGCATTAGTGGTAGTTTCTACTCAGCAACCTCTAGAACCAAGATTTCCTAACCTTTTCGGCTTGTAATAGACTTTGATTCACTTAGACCCACTGAGGACCCACTGTTTATCCTCCATATTGCCAACCTTATAGTAGAAACACACTCCACCTGTTTCTTTACTTATTCCTCCCTAGCGCTGCCAGGAATTGTGTCCTGCCATCTCTCCAGTAAAAAATTCAGAGCAGAAGGAGAAGGCCTAAGATATATATTTTTTGGCCCATGCCACACTATTTGGGAAATTCTTTCTTAGGGTCAGAGCCCAGGTTGGTTCTACCTTGGGAGTAAAATTCAGTCTTGAAAAACCTCATGAGCCGGCTGGGTGCGGTGGCTTACGCCTGTAATCCCAGCACTTTGGGAAGCCGAGGTGGGCCTCGAATTCCCACCTGAGGTGAAACCTTATCTCTACTAAAAATACAAAAACTAGTCGGGCATGGTGGTGTGCGCCTGTAATCCCAGCTACTCGGGAGGTTGAGGTGGGAGAATTGCTTGAACCCAGGAGGCAGAGGTTGCAGTGAGCTGAGATCACACCACTCTATACCAGCCTGGGTGGACAGAGGGAGACTCCATCTCAAAAAAAAAAAAAAAAACAAAAACCAGAAAAAAGCTCATGAGCATATGTGTCTACTCTCTACTTATCACCCCCACTTGCATTTTCCTTCTTTCTTTGTTTTGTCTCTTAGAATTTTCTTGAGCTCTCCTTGAATCTTTATCCAGCATAGCAGGGACAACACAGTCGTGAAATTATCAAAAGGGGCCCAGATCTGCTTCTGGGTCCTTTGGGAGGGTTGTGGGTTGGCATAGCTCCCAGGATGAGAATGTTAAAGATGCCTAAAGATGCGGGGTGCTGAGTCCCAGTGTTTGGGTTGAATGTTTCCTGTGGACCAACACAGTGCTAGGAGGTGTGTGTCTTTAGCTCAGGGTTGGGGAAGATGGGGGCAGGAGGCAGGAGGTGCAAGAAAAGCAGACTCGTCTTAGCCTTCATTCACTCTCATTCTCTGTGCTTTTGGTTCCCAGGTGGAATATGGCCCCTGTGTGGTAGCTAGTGACTGCTGGAGTCTGCTGCTCGAGTTCCTACAGAGTTTTTTAGGCAGCCACACACCAGGGGCTCCTGCAGTGTTTGGGAACAGACATGATGTGGTCTACGGCCCAGCAGATACCATGGTCCAGTACATGGAACTCTTCAACAAGATCCGCAAGCAGCAGCAGGTGCCTGTGGCTGGGATTCGTTAGTGATGAGCAGCTGCCAGCTGAGCTCTGTCTCTAGGGGTACTCCACAGAGGAGCAGGTACTGACTCTCAGGTCCCTGGACCCCAGAAACCCAGGGTAGACATGGAGTCTACTCTCCCTCTTTGGTTCCCAGCTGTGGCTTTTGTTCTGAGGCTCTGAAGTCCACCCCGGAACACCGATTCCCTGACCCTCACACATAGTTCCCCATCAGCTGTTTTACTCCACGCCTTACTGGATTTGGCTTGTCCTCAAGAATGGTAATTATGAAGAATGGAGAAGCTTTGACGCTGCCTCCTTTAGGGGAAAGGTAGGACAGGGGTGTCCCTGCCTGGTATTCGTGGGGGAAACTGTCTATATCCCCAGCTGTTGAGGATTTGTCCCAGGCCCACGGTAAACGTGCTGCATTTTATGTTTGGACTGTGCTGTAATAAGAGCCTCCTCCTTTACTCAGAAGATATGGCTGGGCCTCTATCCTGGAGATGGAGTGGAAGGCACAACTGGTTTGATAGTTATCATTTTCTGACTTGTTCGTTGAAGTGATTTGCGAATTGACTTTCCTCAGGTGTTGCCTGAGTCCTCTGAACTCTCCTGACATCTTTCTCTTCTGTTGTGAAATATGTTAAGCCACAGGCCAAACTCCTATGAGACTGAAGTTTGTTTTTTTTTCTCACCAAATAATAGGTAATCAGATGGTCTAGGGCAGATTTAACTATACAAGGTTATCAGGAGCTTGGTTTCCTTCTCTCTTATTCAGCCACTCCCAGGATATTTCCTTACCCACAATGTCAAAGCAGACTCATCAGCTCCATATCTGCATTCCACTGGGTCAAGAGAGAAAAGAGCAGTTTAAAAGAAAAACGATATGACTGAGCATTGCTCAAATCACTGTGGCCACACTTTGCTGAAAGAGATGCTGGGACATAGAGCCTCTTATCTGGGCAGTCATGTGCTGAGTTAAAACTCGGGGGTTCTGTGACTAAAAGATGAAAGAAGATGGTTGCTGGGACCCAGTTAATAGCTTCTGCTACATGGAGCTCAATGGACATGCCCAGGAATGCTCTTGGCTGTTATTTTGTAGTTAATAGCCCCTGTAACTAAGGCATTTGTTTATGAGTTGACTTGGGAGATCGGCTGATCTCAGAGACACTTTGAGCTAAGCTGGATTAGTCACACTAGAAAGTTAATTCCACACCCTTCGTCTAAGTCTCAGTATTGAGGCCTCTCTAGTTCTCATGCACCGAGATCTTAGGGTTAGAACACTTGACCCTGATACCTGCACCATGCGTCATGGTTGCCTGAGCTCTTTCTCCTGTTTCATTTGAATCTCCAAACTACATATTTGGCCATATTGCCTGCCTACCCCATGCCTGCTGCAGAAATACTCATCCAGATTAACCTTGATATACACAGAGATGGTCTTAAGAGAATTGTTAATGTTTGCACTATATTGTCATCAAGGATACTGTCCCTTATTTGAAGGCATCTAAAGAGAAACCATTTTCAGATCCAAGTGCTCAGATCTAAAGCCTTTGCAACAAGTCAGGTACTAGTCATGTTTCTCTTCTAGTTTTGGCTGACAAGAAGCTCAATTCAGTTTCATAATTATAGTACCTGTCATCTGTATTTTTCATTTTCACTTCCCTTGTTTTTGTTATTTTGTTTCTGTTTTTTTTTTTTTTTTTTTTTTTTTTTTTTTTTTTTTTTTTTTATATCGAGGTATGTTTTAGATACTGTTTATAAAAATAAAATGCACAGATCTTATGTTTTTGGCCTTCTGATTTACATTTGCTCTGGTCTGGGTTTATTTATTTGTATTTTTCTTTAGGCTGCAGCTTTTATGGAATGAAACAATATGTAGGCAGGATTTTGAACATAATGCATTTCCTGAAAATCTGAAGTTGACTGTGGAAAACATAGACTCTCTAGACTTGTGCATTATAAGGAGGGGCTCTGTTCCCTAAAAGCTAAAAAACCAGTACAAAATCCCTAACTACACTTTGCCTTTATTTTATTTTATTATTTTTGAGATGGAGTTTTACTCTTGTTGACTAGGCTGGAGTGCAGTGGTGTGATCTCGGCTGGAGTGCAGTGGTGTGATCTCGGCTCACTGCAACCTCCACCTCCTGGGTGGAAGCAATTCTCATGCCTCAGCCTCCTGTGTAGCTGGGATTACAGGCATTCGCCACCATGCCCAGCGAAGTTTTTTGCATTTTTATTAGTGATGGGGTTTTGTCATGTTGCCCAGGCCAGTCTTGAACTCCTGACCTCAGGTGATCCACCCGCCTCAGCCTCCCAAAGTGCTGGGATTACAGGTGTGAGCCACCCCGGCCCACTTTGCCTTTTAAGCACAATCTTGGCTCATACATTGCAGCGTTTTTCACTTTTGTTTTTTTTCTTTTACATTTAAGCACACATCCGACCAGCTGTTCTAGTCAACACCTACTTTTTAAGAACTCCTACTTGGGTACTTTTGTTCTTTGTGTCAAAGGAAATGTGTCACTAAAAGAGGCAGGTAATGCAATACATTTCTTAAATAATTTAACAAATACGGCTCCACTCGCAAAGTTACCAAAACTAAACTGATGACTTGTGGGAAGGACCCGTATGTTATCCAGTTCTTAGGTGCATTTCTGATTGGCGCTTTCAGGAGTACTTTAGGATATAAATGTTTGTGTATAATTTTTGAAAGTGAAAGTTGAGGGTTACTTATATAAATTAAGGGGGAAAGGGCGTGATTATCCCCATTTTATAAATAAATCTTAGCCAGTAAATGGAGATGCCATATTTTTTGGTTCACATCTGACGCTCTTCTTGCTACTCTAGACTATCCTCCTGCTTCCCCTTCCTCTGTTTCCAGATGCTTTAGCCCTTTTCCCATCTGTAGCTACCCCCAAAAGAGCAGAAACTAGGAAAACTTCTAGGGCCTTGCTACTGTCATCTTGGGTACTTTTGCCGGAGCCACATAGAAAAATGCTAACCTTGACTGTTAGCTGTCAGGGCAACTTTAGAGCTCATTAGTTCTCTCTCAGTGTAAACTGGAGAGGCTGCACTTCCCAGAGAAGTCATGCAGAGAGATGAGGGTGGAGTCAAGACCAAACTTCAGGCTCAGGACTCCTGGCTACCAGCATGTGCCAAAGTACAGCGGCTGGACCTCCCTGAGGTGCCAGATGATTTTAGATGGAATGTGGAAACATTTTAATACTAGTACTTCTATCTTACTCTAATCTGTATTAAAAGTATAACTAGCATTTTATTCCTTAGGATGGGTTTTTGTTTTTTTAAGTTCGTTTGTTTTTCAATAGAGATGGAGGTTGCATCCTGTTGCCCAGCCTGGAAGAGTCTTTTCAAGTGATCCGTTAAGTTAGAGTACAGGGGATACATGCAAATCTCAGAACCTGTGGAAGGGGAAGGCAAACGCTGGATCTTGGGAACCACTGTAATCTACTTTGTGCATAGTCTATTTTCTACCTCCATTGATGTTTCCTGCCCTGGCTGTGCTTTCCTGTTGTCTCTTCTGGATTCACTGTACCCTGTTCCCACACTGCCTCCTGCTGGCTTTCCTCAGATATTAAGGGCCAAGAAGTCACATCTCCCCCACCATGCGCTGGTATCCCTCCTTCACTGAAGAAAACACCTGAGGACTGCCCACTCCTCCCCACCACCAGATTTACCCCAACCCAGTGTGTACCGAAGCTTCAGGGTAAGGCAGTTAGTGAAATTTTTCTCTCCAAATCCTGGAAGGTAGGGGTCATGGTTAGAAGTTCCCCACCTGGTTAGGTGTGGTGTCTCACGCCTATAATCCCAGCACTTTGGGAGGCCGAGGTGGGCGGATCACCTGAGGTCAGGAGTTCGAGACCAGTCTGGCCAACATGGTGAAACCCTGTTTCTACTAAAAATACAAAAATTAGCTGGGCGTGGTGGCATGCGCCTATAATCCCAGCTACTTGGGAAGCTGAGGCAGGAGAATTGCTTGAACCCAGGAGGTGGAGGTTGCAGTGATCATGCCACTGTTCTCCAGCCTGGGGGACAAGAACAAAACTTCGTCTCAAAAAAAAAAAAAAGGTGCCCACCTAAGCATGTGCTCCAGGTGTCAAAAATTGACAGGCAGACTGACATATGGCCTTGTTATCTCCTAGCCCATACCTTTAACTCCCAACGTTACCTTTCCTTGCCACACCCTCCCTCCCCATTTCTGTTACTGCCTGGGTGTCTTAGGCCACAGACCCCAATTACTACTGCATGTGGAATAGCTGAAACCAACTGCATTACAAGTTTGGGCTTCCCCTGGGAATTTGGTGTCTTTGGCTTGCGAGCACTCACTTCTTGGGGGTGGGGGATCTCTCCAAGGTGAGTCTCTATGATTGTATAGAGCATTCCCAAATCAGTCTTTTTGGTTAGAAGGACTCTTTAAAAATCATCCAGCTTGACCATCATTCAATACTCACACCTTGGCCAGGCATGGTCGCTCACGCCTGTAATCCCAGCACTTTGGGAGGCTGAGGCAGGCAGATCACCTGAGGTCAGGAGTTCGAGACCAACCTGACTAACATGGTTAAACCCCGTCTACCAAAAATAAAAAATTAGCCGGGTGTGTGGTGATGCGTGCCTGTAATCCCAGATACTTGGGAGGCTGTGGCAGGAGAATTGCTTGAACCTCAGAGGTAGAGGTTGCAGTGAGATGAGTTCATGGCACTGCATTCCAGCCTGGGTGACAGAGTGAGACTCTTTGTCTGTCTAAAAAAAAAAAAAAAAAATCTGTGATCCCAAAAATAATCTCTAAAGAGAGAACTAATCCTGAAATGGAAACAGTATGAAGACAGAGTTAAGCAGGTTTTAGACTGGTCCAGCCAGCTTTTGTGAGCAGGATCTTTCCCTGTCTTCTGGACCTTATATCTGGGTGTCGAGCCAGAGGATTTTCCTTCTTCATTTTGTAGCCAACCCTTTGGGCCTTTCAGTTTCTGGGAAGATGGACTGAGTTTGTGCTATCTTCCTGTGTTTCCCCTTTTTCTTTTGAAAATAGGCAGGAATAACATGTATGAAGAAATCTTGATAGCTGCCTCTGTGGCTTCAGAGTTACTCTTCTGTTATGACATACTCCATGGAGTTTGAAAAGTATTCTGTTGTAATGGAATTTGGCATAATGCATATATATTTTCATTTTTCAGAAAGACATGATTGATGAGGCAGAGAAATAGCTCCTTGCCTTTGTGATGAAATTAGCAAGTTGAAAAATTATTGAAATGATTAGGGCACAGTTTCCTAATTCTCTTGCATTCTGTTTCATTTCCCAACATACCCCTGCCTCATCAGATAGCACAGACTAATTTTTAAGATTAATATGAATTCGACTGAATTTTCTTTGGAGCCTTTTAAACAGAGAATTTAGGGACCACATTTATATAGCCTAGATTGTCCTAAAGCCAGAATTCAAGAGTAGAAGTCTTTCATCATGTAGGAAAGGCAAGGCTGTGAATGTGAAGATGACAGGTGTTCTGGGGTGGCCTGCTCAAGGGAAGAGAATGCTGCTTTAGGAGACACGTGGCTGCATGCTAGCACTGGCCCTAACTTGCCACGTAACTTGAATCAAGCTGTTGTCTCTGAGTCTCATCTGTACAGTGGGAATAATGATGGCTGCTTTCCATATTTCATAGAGTTGTTGAGAGGCTCAAAGGTGAATACATATGAGTGTTTTGTAGGCAAGAAGATGTCATCTCTGCTCTTGTGTTTTTTTATTTTTTGTTATTTTTTAATATAGAGTCTCACTGTGTTTCCCAGGCTGGTCTCAAACTCCTGGGCTTAACCTCCCAAAATATTGGGATTATAGGTGTGAGCCACCATGCCTGACCTAAATATTTATTAATTTGGTTAAACCCAACAATAAACCCATCACATGTTAACATAAATACTTTTTTTTTTTGAGATGGAGTCTCACTCTATGGCCCAGGCTGGAGTGCAGTGGTACAACCTCAGCTCACTGCAACCTCTGGCTCCCAGATTCAAGTGATTCTCATGCCTCACCCTCCCAAGTAGCCGGGATTACAGGCACGCACCACCATGCCTGGCTAATTTTTGAATTTTTAGTACAGACAGGGATTCACCATGCTGGCCACGCTGGTCTCGAATTCCTGACCTCAGGTGATCCACCCACCATGGCCTCCCAAAGTGCTGGCATTACAGGTGTGAGCCACTGTGCAGGGCCAAAATGTTTTTATTATTTTATTTATTTTTTGAGATGGGGTCTTGCACTGTTGCCCAGGCTACAGTGCAGTGGCATGATCATAGCTCACTGCAGCCTCCATTTCCCAGGTTCAAGTGATCCGCCCACCTCATTCCCAAGTAGCTGGAACTATCTGTGCACACCACCATATCTGGCTAATTTATTTTTAGTAGAGATGAGGTCTTGCAATGTTGTCCAGGCTTGGTCTGAAACTTCCTGAACTCAAGCGATCTTCCCACTTTGGCTTCCCAAAGTGCTGGAATTACAGGCATGAGCCATGTGCCTGGCTGATAAAGTATTTTTAATGGGCCAGGCACGGTGGCTAATGCTTGTAATCCCAGCACACTGGGAGACTCAGGCAGGTAGAGCATGAGGTCAGGAGTTTGAGACCAGCCTGGTCAACATGGTGAAACCCTGTCTCCACTAAAAATACAAAATTTAGCCAGGCATGGTGGCGGGCGCCTGTAATCCTAGCTACTGGGGAGGCTGAGGCAGAAAAATTGCTTGAACCCAGGAGGTGGAGATTGCAGTAAGCCAAGCTGTGCCATTGCACTCCAGCCTGGTGACAGAGCAAGACTCCATCTCAAAAAAAATTTTTTTTAATGTAATTATTTTTCCAAACAAAATTTCGTGAGGAGAGTAGCACTGTTTTTTATTTTCATAAATCTCTTGAATGTCTGGCATTATAGAAGATAGTGGGGATGCTGTCAGTGGCAACACAGTGATATCCCATCTCTACTAAAAATACAAAAAATTAGCTGGGCGTGGTGGCGTACACCTGTGATCCCAGCTACTCAGGAGGCTGAGGCAGGAGAATTGCTTGAACTTGGGAGGCAGAGGTTGCAGTGAGCGGAGATCACACCACTACACTCCAGCCTGGGCGACAGAGTAAGACTCTGTCTCCAAAAAAAAAAGAAAAAGCTTGATTTTTATCATAACTGATAATGCTACCAGGTTTACCTTAATTTTTTAAATTTGTTTATTTTTTTTTGAGACGGTGTCTCGTTCTGTCGCCAGGCTGGATTTGCAGTGGTGCAATCTTGGCTCACTGCAACCTCTGCTTCCCAGGTTCAAGAATTCTCCTGCCTCAGCCTCCCAAGTAGCTGGGAGTACAGGCACGTGCCACCACGACCAACTAATTTTTGTATTTTTAGTAGAGACAGGGTTTCACTGTGTTGGCCAGGATGCTCTCAATCTCTTGACCTTGTGCTTGGCTCGCCTCGGCCTCCTAAAGTGCTGGGATTACAGGCATGAACCACTGCACCTGGCCAGGCTCAACTTTTAAGAAAATGTCTGCCAAGTATCCAGTGAACAACTACAGTCTGTTAATTGTTGTTTTAAATAAAAATGGTATTCCATGAAGAAAGCTGTTAATACAGCCCCAAACTTAAATTGCAAAAGTGCTTTTCCTCAAGACAAATGGACTTATAAGTGCTTTATGCATACATACATGCATTGAATCACATAAACACGTGTACTTAAGTAAAACAAATAATTTTGTCTTCATCAAAGACCTCAAGTGAAATAGGTGTTTGTTTTT